AAAAAAAAAAAAAAAAAAAAACTGAAGTAAAAAAAGAGGTATTTTATCGTAAAAAGTAAATTCCCTCACTTCCTGTTAAAGTTCCTCAATGCAATCCCTATACTGAAAGGATAAAAATTCTAAATTCCTTTGCAAGACACACAATTATTTTTATGATACGATTCCTTTCTAGTTTCCTCCCTCCACCCAATTTTACCCTCTGACATGAGGACCACAGATTCTATCACCTCTCTAAGCTTTTCCATGTGGAGCACTTTGGTTTGAGCAAATGTCCGTCCATTCATCCTTCATGTCTCAGTGCAAATACTGCCTCCCTCATCAGTCCTTCCTTCTGTAGAGCCCAGTCCTCAGTCTTGGTAGCATTTCTTATACTTTGTTCTTAGCTCCATCACTGCATCTTAATTAACTGTTGAAACACCTCGTTGTTCTCCCCATTAGATAACAAGAACCACAGGTTTTCCTTTTTGTATCGTAAGCACCATGGACACAACTTCATCCACGGAGCGGGGGAGGGGGGTCGGAAAGCAAACAAAATGGTAAGAAAAAAGAAGGTGGTCATGCATGGCCTTCTAGAATATTTAAGGATTTAAGTCTTTCTCTGGAAAATCTAAAACAACCTTTTAGCAGGATTATTGATTAAGTTGGAAACTCATTGAGTATATACAGAATATAATTACAACTTTTTAAGAGTGAAATAAAAAACTTTATGCTTAAAAAAAAGATTTGAAGGAAAGTATCAAAATGTTAACAGTAATTCTGTTAGAATAATGAGAAGCCATGGGTAATTTTTCACACATCCCCTCCCTCCTTTTCCTGTTTTCAAAAATGTCTTATACCCTTCACTTAACCTATCACTATTTTCCACAATATGACTATAAAAATTAACAACACTCTAAATGTCCAAAATTACCAAACTGAAATGGTGAGAACCCAGCATCAAGCCACTCTAAATATGGAGAAAATGATGAGAACACAACACCTTGCTGTCCCAAAGGCAGGAGAGAAAAAAAGACATAGGATAATATACTTCACTAATAGATTGGCTTTTATGATTATTCATACTATACATTCCCAAGCTGTTTTGATCACTCTTTGAAGATCCAAAAATAAACTACTTATATCAACCAAGAAACTAAAGAGCATTCTATTTCTTATAATGGTAGATACTAAAGAGTATACACAGCCAGTGGCTCACCGCTATAATCCCAGCATTCTGGGAGGCTGAGGTAGGTGGATTGCCTGAGCTCAGGAGTTTGCCACTAGCCTGAGAAAAAGCAAGACCCAGTCTCTAAAAATAGCCGGGCTAGGTCAGCGCCTGTGGCTCAAGTGGCTAAGGCGCCAGCCACATACACCTAAGGTGGTAGGTTCGAATCCAGCCCAGGCCCACCAAACAACAATAATGGCTGCAACCAAAAAATAGCCGGGCATTGTGGTGGGCGCCTGTGGTCCCAGCTACTTGGGAGGC